CTGTCCCCTCCCCCGTGCAGTCCTGCCTGCGCTGCTCACTGCCCCAGCCCTTTCCGCAGAGCCCAGGGCTGCGCACCCACCTGATGGGAGCGGAAGGGAAAGGAGCAGACAGGTCAGTGCAGCGGCTTCCCTGGGAGGCTTGGGGTGCTCTGGCAGCTGCGGTAAGTGCAGCCTCTGGGGTGGGGGTGGTTGGGTACCACGCTCCAGCTCCCCAAGATCCTGGTGGCGAGGGAGCCCCCAAGAGTCTGCTGCTGTCACGTAAGTCCAGCTGGGAGTCCTGCTCCTAGCTCCAGTCCCCAGGCTACTGTCAGGAACACGGTACCCTCCCTTCTACCCTGGGCTGTCACAGCCGCAATGTGGGGTCTGCTGGCGACTGTGCCATGTTTCTTGGCATTGAAAGCCCTGGGGAGTAGGGGATGGAAGAAGGGGAGCAGGGGCTTGGTTTAAAATAGCAATTCCAAGTGTTGAGGGGAAGCAGTGAGGTCAGGCTCCAGCTCGGAAAGGGGGGAGGAGGGAGAAAGGGAGGAGGCAGGCAGGACACAGAGTGACGTGATGATGTCACTCTGTCGTCCCACAGGATTTTTTTTTTAATATATAGAGAGATTAGAGCCGCTCAGCTCTAATACTAACATGTTTTGGCATCTTCTGACAAGTCATCTAAGGGACACTGGTTAGGCTTAAAATTGCAATACATATTCTTGTAATAAACTCTGCAGAAAGAGAGAAAGAGAGAAGCCACATGAGGTGAATCAGCTCCCCTAAGCATGGCTCTCTTCTTCCACACCTTCTCGTTCTGAATTGCAAGTAGCTGTGCAAGGTGACTCCCCACCACGCTCTGCGACTGCTCCAGACTCCCTTGTTGTATAACTTCCTGTATCAAGTTCTGAGGACCTATCTTTGCTGAATCAAAGGTGGAGTTAGCTCAAATGGTTCTTTCAGACAGCTATTGTTGAATTCAGTGCTGCAGGCACAAATGTCCCAGGGGTTTCTATAGCAATTGATCATGTATGAGGCTTGCAGCCCTCAAGCCTACAAAAGGCAGGGAAAGGATCATAATTAAGGCGATGATTTAATCGGGTACTTAGTAAAAGTCACAGCCAGGTAATGGGCAAGAAACCAAACAATCACTGCCCATGACTTGTACCATAAATACCCAGATAGAATCTTGGGGAGGAGAGCTCAGGGGGCCCACAGCACCATCTGCAGGGGAAGCCCTGGGAGGCCTGCTGTTGCTCCAGCCAGTCAGTACTGGGGTTGGGGGGAAGAGGGGGAGGGAGAGAAGCTGGGCAATCTTTACCAGTCTTGGTGCCCTATGCAGCCTGAGCACCTGCAGGGCCCATGGGGGAGAGGGAGCCACTCCACAGGAAAGGGCTGTCCTCAAGGCTAGGTCCATGCAGTTTGGTGTGTGGGGGGGGGGGGGGGCGGGCAGGAGCAGGGGAGAGAGCCTCAAGAAGGAGCAGGTGGTAGGCGCAGGTGCCAGGCGGCGAGTGGTGAGTTGCAGGCCAGAGGTGGAGCAGCGGGCACCTACACAGCCAGCTGGAGACAAGTGTCATTTTCCCCTTCTGCTTGAAGAGGAAACAGCTGGTGAGTAGTGGCTGTGGGCAGCCCATGGTGGGGGCAGCCAGGGGATGGGCTGGCTGCTAGAACTGGAATCGCATACACAGCTGCCTAGAGTACTACAAAATTTGGGGCAATGATGCTGCAGATTTTGTGGTGCTCTATGCAACTACATATTCTGCATATGTCTTTGGATGGCCTGGGAGGGAAATCCTGCTGCCACTCCAGCCACCAGTGGAGGGGTCCGGGAGGAAGTCCTGAAGGGCCAGCTGCTACTCTGACTTCCCTGGGACCGCTGCTTGGAGCCACTGAGCTCCGGCTGCTCCTGCCAACCTTGGGGCCAGCTGTATTGGCTGCTGCTCAGGCATTCCCTGGGCAGTGACTGGTGCAGCTGGCCCTGGGCCATTCCCACAGTCACTGGTGCAACTGCTCCAAGCTGCTTGGGCAGCGCTAGAGTTAGCGACACTGGCCATTGCAGAAGTAAGAGAGATCACAGGAAATAATGGAATCCATGACTTCTGCAACCTTCATGACAGACATGGAGTCCTATTCATAATATAAAGTATGAACTAGTCAAATTAATAACTGCTTCCAAAGTCATTTCCTTTCTCTTCAGGACATCTGCATGTGAGCAGTTTGGCATGATAAAAAACAGAGAGCAAGTCTTGTGTCACCCAGACTGAGGATGAACAAGGATGTGACAAGAGGCATTGTCAGGAGCAGTTATTAATACTGTAATAAATGTGGAGCTACCTAGGAACAGCTGCTGTCACTGTGCTGCACATCAACCACTGAAACCTTCATCATGGTAGCACAGATAGAACTCAGTGTCTTCTATTGGAAAAGCACAGGCCTCTAACTTCTGAAGTTAAGCAGAATCACCATTAGCTAATAGTAGAGCCTATGATGGGAAGACTTTTGAGGTAAGGCAATAGTGACAGTTTGCACACTTCTAGTTCATGAAACACTATGTAGTGATCTGCCAAGTTTGAATTTATTTTGAATGTTTGAATGTTAACTAAATACATTTTTTTCTGAGCATGATGCACAATATCAAACCAGAACTAAAATATTATTTTGACAGCTTGTCCTGGTACTGATTTTCACCCAGATTCTGCAGATCAAACTCCATTATTTTTCTGTAAGAATGGTCATAATTTAATTTCATTACATCAGCTGAGGATCTGGCTGTTGATTTTATTTCAGTGCTCTTGTTTTACATCCTTGTTGAGAAGGAAGTCTGGCCTGATAGCTTCATGACAGTAAAATGCACTGATTAGCAAGGCTCTTGCTGTACCTAGGTATGGGCTAGATGGATTATTTGAACAAATCTGAGCTTCCTCTAAGAAAAAGGCATAGGTGATAAAAGTACATTTATCTGAAAGCCCACAGTAAATTATGAAAAAATAGATTAAATGGCATAAAAAATATTGCACTGAGTTCCCACTATGAATCTTTCCCTGTCTTATTTTTGGTTTAGTCTTAGATTCAGTGTGTTAAGAAATGGGAACAAAACCCAGTGGTGAAAATTTGAGATCAACTACCTCCTTTAAAGGTTTGAATGAATAAGCCCTAGGACAAAAACTGTCAGTGGGTCTAGCTTATAGTGCCTTCATGTGGGAGAGGCGGGGAAGGGCTGTTCCTTCTCTCCTCTCCCCCACAGCTAGATGCTGTGGGTCACTGACAGAAAAACCACGGGATTCGTGACTGGTCTCCCCCCACTCCGCCCTCCTATCCCAGACCTGATCCCGCTCTCCTCTGCCCAAAACCACTGGCATTTCCTCTGAGCTCACTCGATACATGACGCGGCCCCTTTTCCCCTCGGAAGAGGAAGCTTCGGAGCTAAGTAACGGTTGGGGGAGAAGGGCTGGACTGAGGAAGCACAAGAGCAGGGGCGAGGGGGCGGCTGAGTGCGTGTCCCGGGATAGGAGGCAGGCGGGAAGGCGGCTGGCTGCGTGTCCGGTGATAGACGGCAGGCGGGGGAAGGCGGCTGGCTGGGCGCACCCCAGGGGCTGGAGCAGGACCCAGAGAAGGAGGCGGCTGACTGGCTGTCCCGGGACTGGAGCAGGGAGCGGGGGAAGAGCCCGCTCGGTGGGAGGAGCTGGCGATCCGGGAGCGGCAGGGGTAGTGGGGCGAGCGCAGCCGGCAGGGGGCTGCCTG